ACACTTACACATAGGCGTGCTGCCGGCTAGGCGCTTCCTTTACATAGCAACGAACGACTGAACGCGGAGCACAGCAGATAGAAATGGTTCGTTTTTACTGAGGGAGGAAAACCCGGAAAGACCCGGAAAAACCCTCGACGCAAGGGAGAGAACGAAAGAAACTCAAATCACATATGGCGCCCCGACCGAGATTCGAACAGGGTCCACAGAGGTGACAGGCCAGCGCTCTCACCGCTCGGCCACCCATGCGTCCCGACATGTAAAATGACATAATAGGATTGTTGTTATTGTCTTGATATTTGTTTATGTCATATAGAATGACAAAAACGAGTCCGAGGAAGGATAACATCGTGAAATCCAAAATTTGGATTATACACGAGACGTTGTTCAACAATATTTCGGTTTAATTCAGAACCATAATCATGTTAATTATTTTACAATTTTGCCATCGTATTTAAAACAAGTTTAATTCTCTAGAGGCTTTCAAGCCGTCGTTAATTCCCGGGCGTAAATTCTTGATGTAATAGGCCTCGAGGAATTCCAAACCGAAATATTGTTGAACAACGTCTCGTTTATAATCCAAATTTTGGATKTYACDATGTTATCCTTCCTCGGACTCGTTTTTGTCATTCTATATGTCAAACTGTCAGATCGTAATGGATTTTGTTCATGTCAGTTCTTTTAATAATACGAAGTTGGCGTAGACACCGTTATTTTTTTAATTTCTCTAAATGACTTTTAAGTTATTAAAATTGTGATATTTATATTACTGCATATCATGAATTGTCTATCAAACTAGCTACCCATCTTATCAAAAGCGAATTATATAGTAAATATATGGCAAACACGCAAGTGTAGCCTTACCAAATTCACTACTATTTTATCAACAAGAACCCCGAGTTTACGCAGTTATGCGTCTAGTTGAAATGAGTTTCCAATGCAATTAGTCGCTCAATGCATAGAAAGTGACCATGGACGCGTCATAGAATGAATGAACCACAATACTCAAGACGTTCTCAGTTTACATGCGTTTTTCTGGCTGTTTTAGGTAGCTATCAAGTTCATTCCCAAGGAACGAACTACACGCAAAGTCAAGGTAATTTACATGCGGCATTTACGTCTGTAAAAAATGTTTCAATTTTTTTCTGTTCTGTCACATGCAGATTGGCAAGAAGTCAATTCCTGCTGAAGCTTACTTCCTCAATAAAGCAAATCATCCTAACATCATCAAACTCCTCAAGTTTTACACCTTCCACGACTGCCATGCTATCGTCATGGAAAAGCCAAGAGAGTGCANCTTTTCTTTTGAAAAGCAACCGTTAAGAAAGATGCATTTCTTATGAAGTATGATCTTGGGGAGATTCTTGGACGAGGCTCGTTTGGAACGGTCTACGCAGCTACAAGGAAAAAAGATGGCATTGAGGTAATTAATATGATAAATATTTAACGCGGTGTGAAAAATAGAGGTAATTGAAATGAGTTTCCAATGCAATTAGTCGCTCAATGCATAGAAAGTGACCATGAACGCGTCATAGAATGAATGAACCACAATGGTCAAGACGTTCTCAGAGTCTACATGTGTTTTTCTGGCTGTTTTAGGTAGCTATCAAGTTCATTCCCAAGGAACGAACTACACGCAAAGTCAAGGTAATTTACATGCGGCATATGCCGGTTACTTACCATATTTGGCGTATACACGTTAAATCGTTAAGCTGAGTTTAGAATTCTGCTGCACGCTGCTTTCTTCTGGAAGCAGTACGCTTCCCAGCACTCTAGTGCTCTTATTCTATTTGCCCTAAGGCCTACTAAGAGGCTTGGGGGGGGAGGGGGTGAATTTTCTAGGCCTTCATTGTCTCTGCATTCAAACATTGTATCCCTTTGCTATAGTTTACGTCTGTAAAAAATGTTTTAAATTTTTTCTGTTCTGTCACATGCAGATTGGCAAGAAGTCAATTCCTGCTGAAGCTTACTTCCTCAATAAAGCAAATCATCCTAACATCATCAAACTCCTCAAGTTTTACACCTTCCACGACTGCCATGYYATCGTCATGGAAAAGCCAAGAGAGTGCAAAAACCTTCTCCAATATATTGCGAGTCAAACGGATGGGATTAGCGACGCGGAGATCAAACGCATTTTACGTCAACTTGTCGAGGCTGTCGCCTATCTGGAGGATGAAGAGATCTTACACAATGACCTCAAGACGGAGAATATACTTGTGGACATTAGCAATGGTGGCAGGGTGAAGATTGTTGACTTTGGCTTGTCGTGGGTTCTGACYGATGARCCTRTCACTGGGTTCGTAGGTAGGTTGWTTTCATTGCATTTCTTGACGCGATCTCTGCATGAATGGGCGATATGAATTGGGAATATTTTTTGAGAAAGTGGAGTTATGAATGTACAAAGATTGGGTAGGCTATCTGGGAAGGGGAAAAGAGATTGAAAGAATGGGAAATAAGGATGTAAATAAAACTGTATTACGCTTTATTATAAAACTTCTTATATATAACACTGACGTTCTTTAATGCGACCGATGTTCAGAGACCAAATCTTTTGTTTGTGTGCTCAAAAAAGGAGGAATTAAGATTGTTACCCATCATGCTTTGAACTGACGTTCTTCTTAGAAAATTGCGTCGATACAAATTGTCTATATGTTGACAAATTTGTATATACAATACCAGGCAGAAGGGTCAAAATAAGAATCTACCTTCAAATGATCTGAAGGAGACTGAGTGAAAACTCAATCCACATTTCCGCTCTAATCGTTCGTTCCCTTAACTTTTATGTATAGTTTAAAACACGAGAGAGAGTGTTTTATCAGGTATAAAGATTCGAGCCGAAGGCATTGGTCAATGATCAGGTTTCAAACCTGAGACCTTTGCTAGGGTCATGGACCTTTATATCTGATAAAGGTCAACCTTATTAGTATTCTTTATATAAAGAATAMTAATAAGGAGTGTTTTATCAGATATAAAGGTCCATGCTTGTGACCAAATAGGCTCATTCTATTGGCCTAGTAGCTCATTAATTATGTATGAGTTTTTTAATAACGTTTTACCTTGTCAGGGACATATGCGCTCTGTCCTCCCGAATACCGTGAAAAGCACGAGTACTTTGGACGYGAAGCCAATGTATGGTCGCTGGGCTGTATTCTGTATGATATGTTCACTGGAAATGTGCCGTACTCTGGGCCTAACGATGCCTCATGGCGACCTCTGGTCCTTCCTAAACACATCCCTAAAGGTMTGTTTACTCTAGCCTCTGCTGGCTCTAGGAACGGGGGTAGTGCGCAGGCGCGTAGCGTGAACTTTTTGGATAGCTGACGCACATGTCAGGAACCGAGACACATATTTTGGATTAAGGGGGGAGGGGGGGGAGTTGGGCTAACGACCGGTATTAAAGGGATGTGGGGACCCTCCCCTAGAAAAATGTGCGCATGCCTTGTGCTATAGATAGAGTCAATTTCGTATGAGTGGGAAACGTACGGTCGAAATTACCGCACGGTTACCACACAGTTACCGGACCTGGTCTGCACAATTTTGGTGAACCAATGCTGCACTAGAATTTGGTTACAGTACGATTACGGTCACGGTACAGTACCGTCCGTTTTCCACTCATACGAAATCCGCTCTATGTCTTGCTATATGTGTGTTTTGTGAAATGCATGTATAGCCTGTKTACATGATGCGTTCCCATTCCGCGCCCCTTACTGGGAACATTCCTTACCGGATTTTCCACTTAGAGGGGTGGGGTGGGGATAGGGCGTAAGTACATAGGTCACTGCATGTATGATAAAAGATATTGATCAGCAAATTAAAGTAACTGAAAAAATGCAAAATCGAAAAAAAAAAACAAGCAAAAATTGTTATCACTCAAAACAATTAACAAAATGAAAAGAAACTGGAAAGCTAATGCAAAAAAGGAACAGCAAAAAGCAAGCCAAAATTTAAATAGAATAAAGACATGCAGATTTCAAGACTTTTTGAAGAAATGCAATGATATTAGAGACAATCCTAAAAATCTAGTATCGAATTTAAGAAATAAAATATATATGTGACCATTGTGTGTATTCTTCGTGAGAAAATTTGAAAAATCCAAGTATGTGTTTTCGCCTTTGAAGAGTTGAAGTTAAGCATCGAAATAGACTGTCGATCCTGTATGTTTTGAACACGGCTCGCTTCAAAAAACTGGGCTTCGTGCATAAACCTAGCTTTTTAGTTAATGAAAAACCTACCTCCAAATTTAAATAGCTTATGAAATTTGGCGCACATTGATATATGATACCTCTATCGTTCTGAAAAATGTGTAAAAATGGCTTTAAGAGTATTGTATGCGGTGGTTTTGATTATTCTTATGAAGGCTTTTGAAGCAGAGTTAGTAGAGGGGAACTACCGGCAAGTTCCCTTCTACTAACTCAGATTGAAGTAAAAGCTATCGTTGAMGAGTCCCAGGGTTTCGGAGAGCAAATTCCGAGATAATTTTTGTAAAGCTTTTAGCTTTTCTAATGGCCGATAAACCTATATATTCTTAAAAAAAATGCCGTATTTGTGCTCTTTTTCATGCAGCCTCTAACATATAATAACAAATATAATAACATATCAAAAGATCTAATCTAAGCAAATGTCACCCGAAGTATGGCAATAAGTTTGATATGATATAAAACCAATATAGTGGAAAATATTTAAATTTTATAAAGTAAGTTGTTTGGTTTATTTCTCTCAGGAGCTAGAAGTCTACTTCGCATGATGCTTGAGAAACATCCAATCAACCGAGCCACTCTTGAAGATATTTCGAAYCATCCTTGGCTTCAAGACTCTTAGAACAAACAATCATGGGCGTGGTCATTGCACCCCTTTGGACGCACACACGGCATTACGCGATGTATCATCATGCGTTATTAAGTTATCAAGTACACGGTTACTTCTTGTAGAGAGTGAATAATTAAGAAGACTTAGAAGAAGTAAACCAATAATTAACATTAGAAAAGCTAACAGTAAAAATTACTCAAAGATTTAAAAAAAATTACAATTTGAATTTAAAAACAAATTTATCATATGATCATATGATTATCAAGTACAATTCTGTAAATGAATAAATAAAGTCAGAAAATCAATAGAAATAATTCTGGCATTTTCTTGTTTTTTTTGTGGGTTCTGTTTCGAGGGTGTCAATGGGGGGTTACGCATCACGACTCACGACTAATTTTTTCGAATCACGGTTAAATAAATTACTTTAAGAAATTTTTGAAATACGTTTTTCATTACTTTTTCATAATTTGTTTTGTGCTAGAGATAGTGAGTGTAGGAGGACAGTGTCCCCTTGTACGTTATAGACACTCAGTTATTATAATTTTTTATCATCACTCTCACATGTCAAATTTTGTCCGTGCCCTGACTTGTCTGCAGGACCTTGCAATTACTACCTTGTTGGTAGGTGCGATCCATTAGAATTTTGAGGGGGTGTGGGTGGAAAAGTGACCGATTTAGGGAAAACAATTCCTGAACGGGACGAAGGGCGGAAAATAAAATCTTGCAAGGCAAAATTTTGAAATCTCTACTAAAGCTTTTATTGTTTAAATAAAAAAAAAAAAAAAATTACGAGCGCGCGCGCCTGGAGTTGACTGTCCTTCTGAGGGGCAAAAAACTGAATCACGGCTCACGCTATAAAAAAAATATTCTCGCCTCACGGCTAATTTTTTCGCATTTTCACGGCTCACCATTAACCGCATTGAGACCCTCGTATAAGTCACGCAGTCGAATAGAATAGTATTCATACGGAAACTTTTTCCAATCTCCTTTCCAACTCAAATTCAGAAAAGAGACTTTAGTATTCTAAGTGCGTTTGAGTTCTTTTAAGCTTTTTAACTTTTTCCTTTTTTCGGGCGAATTGAGTTGGAAATCCACGAATAAATGAACATGATCTTGGCATCTAAAAAGTCATTTTTTATCATTTTTTGTTACGAAATGCATTGTGGGGCCTGTCGTTACTATGTCTTGATGTTGAGTGACGCAACCGTAACCACTTGTAGCAGGCGTTCCTTGCGAGTCCTTTAAGCAGAAAAGAGAAAATCAGTAGAAAAAAGAAAACGAAGTGAAAACAGCAAAGAAAATGGCTAAACGAAAAAGAGCAAAAGAAAACTAGAAACAAACGCAAAAGAAATAATACGCTAGCAAAAAAGAGAAATTCCAGCAGCAGGACTCGAACTCAGGACTTTCACTTCAGGAGAAGATGCACCCCCCGGAATACATAAGAAATAGTAAAAATAAAAATCTAAAAAGATGGGACGATTCCCCCGAGACATTCTATGAAGCTGAGGCGTCGAATCGGCTTACGTTACGGTTAGAGATTTCGGCTCTTCCACGCTATCCCGAGTGAACATAAAACTTAGTCTTAACCAAAAGGCCAGGGAGTGAGGGGGTAGCCGCCCACTAGAGCATACCTTTAGCTACCCTCTTAGACCATCGTACTATGAANAACAAACGCAAAAGAAACAATACGCAAGCAAAAAAAGAGAAATTCCAGCAGCAGGACTCGAACTCAGGAGTTTCACTTCAGGAGAAAAAAAAACCCCCCGGAATACATAAGAAATAGTAATAATAAAAATCTAAAAAGATGGGAAAAAAACCCCGAGACATTCTATGAAGCTGAGGCGTCGAATCGGCTTACGTTACGGTTAGAGATTTCGGCTCTTCCACGCTATCCGGAGTGAACATAAAACTTAGTCTTAACCAAAAGGCCAGGGAGTGAGGGGGTAGCCGCCCACTAGAGCATACCTTTAGCYACSCTCTAAAAAAATCGTRCTATGARGACACTTATAGATATCTAATATCTAATTGGGGTAGTCTAAAAAAAGAAGTTCTATGCGAATATATGACGTCACCAAAATCCAAAGGGAGTAGCGAACCAATCAGAGCTCAGCTCAGGAATTAGCAAACGATACAGGCTTTGCATAATCATTCTTCAGTAGATTTATTATTTGACGGGGGTGGGGTGGGTTGGGGTGGGATGGTTGCTGAAAAAAAATTTGCGGCCGAATACCGATGTTCGGTGAAATGTGACGGCTTTCACCAAGCAAAAAAATTGTCGTTATTGTTGTCCAAATCATCACATTTTGAATTAGTTTTACAGTTAAAAAAACATACAGGCATTACTAGTATTCGGATAAAACACGAAATGAAAATGAAATGAAAAAAAATTCTTAAGACCGATACTAGCTGTTGCCAAAGATTTGCCGGGATTCAACTAAACACAGTTAAGACCTCTGAAACTCCAACATTACACTCGAACGTTCCACATTTTACAAAAAAATTAATATTGATTATCAAATAATTATTGAATATAAACTAGTGAATACTTAAAAAAAAAGAGAAATGAATGATAATCCGTATAAAATCGTATAATCAAATTAAAAATTAAAAAAAATCCCGGACATATTGTCTTTCGTGACATTCTGTCCGGGAGTTCGTCCAGAGAAAAAAAAAATCTAAGTGCCAAATCCATTGTATACTATGGCGAGCGGCGAACAAGCTAAAAAAATGTTACTGAATTCTACTGAATTTGGTCAAATGGAAGACTATCTACACCTAAAAAAAATAAAGTATCTTTGATTAAACTGGATTTACATTTTACTGTGATTTTGGTGAAAAAAAATGACTCCCGGACATATAATCTTTAAAAAAAAAAAAAAAGATTAAAAGCGCAAAAAAAGAGTTGACTGTCCTTCTGAGGGACAAAACTGAATCACGGCTCACGCTATAAAAAAATATTCACGCCTTATGGCTAATTTTATTGCATTCCCACGACTCACGGCTAATAAAAAAACCGTTTSACGGCTCACGGTTAACCCCATTGAGACCCTCTGYTTCCGGCTCAAAAAAAAAGTACTTTGCGCTCTATTATTTCGGGCTTCCTGTTTGATRTTCAACAATAAAAAAAGGGTAAAATTCAATATGGCTTCCTGACAACACAGCGAAGAGACTCGAGAAATATAAACTACTGAGAATTTTATAATGATTCTGTAGTGTTTTACAATCTCAAATGGAAAAAAAAAAAGAGTCTTTACTTGACTGTATTATWAAAAAGCCTGTGTTTCTAAAAGTAAAAAAATTGTCMGGAGGAACGCCTTTCAAGTCTGGATGTGCGGTGGTAGATGTGTTGTTTCCAGGGTACGAGACTGTCAGTGTAAGTCTAGTTTATAAAAGCGAAGTCAATTTAAAAAAAATGAAAAGATAGCAGGAAAAAGGCACCAAGAGTTAAAATCATTACCATAGAAAAAAATTTTGTTGTCACTAAACTATATTAAGCTTGCAGGGAATTGAGTCTCTACAAAAAAAAAGTAATAATAACTTAAGACTTAAGTTAATAATAACTAGTAATAATAATCTAAAAAAATATAGCGCTTTATATAACTTTTTCTAAGCGCAATTAAAAAAGTTAAAAATAAAAAAAAAAAGTTAAAATAGAGTTGCAGATCGTAGTTTTGTTTAATACGAATGTTTAAAAAAAGCTTTGAAGTTATCCAGTGAAGGGATGTCTCTCCTAATATATTAACTATAAAAAAAATATCTGCATAATATTTTTTTCAGATTGACTGCATAACGTTTCAAAACAACAAAAAAACGTCAGTAGAAATAAAATTTAAAGTTAATGGTAATTATTGTTTAAATTATAAAAAAAAGAGTTATCTTGTTTTCATATCTTTTAGTGTCTCTTGGTTATTATGTCATAAAAAAACAAATTATATTCAAGATGAAAGCCACAGATATGGTAGCAGTGAACAGGGCAAAAAAAAACGGCCAGGTGTATGCAGGAAAAGATGTCCTTCCAAATTCACTTTTGGAAAAAAAAGTTGAATTTTGAAAGGACAAAAACTTTATTATACTATTATTTTCTTTTAAAAAAAAAGTTTTTGTATTCAGAAAGATAGCAAGCATTTTAATGGCTTGTAAAAGATTAAAAAAACGAATTGGGAATTGATTCTTATTTTTTGTCTAAAAATGTCTGAGGTCAATTTGTCCTTTCAAAACCCGATTTGGTCGGTCACCTAGTGAATTTGGAAGGACATTGTTCTTTGACCGGCAGTTATTTCGAGCCATGGTGAAGCAAACCAAATAACAAACAAAAAAAAAAAAATTCTTCCCTCTTCGCCTCTGTTCATGTACCCAGGGGATGGGGGGGGGTAGAAAAAAAGGGACACTATTACTTTAGCATGTTAAGTAAGGGGGGGGGTAGGGATCAGGGGACACTATTACTTTAGCATGTTAAGTAATGTTGTATGTTTGATATCTATCTGAAGATGGGGAAAATGATGTTTGGAAAGTTTGTCTTAAAAGGCACCCTCTGATGAAAAAAACTCATTATGAGGCTGGCAGCCAAGACTACATCACTATTACATCARATATGAAAAAAACAGTGGTCATTGAGTTCAATTCTTTTAGCTTTGCGTTTTGTGTTGTTTGTAAAAAAATCACCAAGAGAGCTATCAGCTGTCKTTACGGGCTGTTGAAATATCAAAAGGCATGTATTATCATTATAAGTTACCACTGATAGACTAGGGTCGTTCACTACAATCAAAATGAAGCTTGTGTTGATTGAGACAATGAAAACAAATAATTTTTATTTTAGGATTATGTCAAACAATGCCTTTTGTACTAATGGATATCTCCGTTTTTTGTATTGTGTCTTTCTAAAAAAATTTATCAAATCACAATCTTTGTTCTAAGTGTACTGGATTGAAAACATATTATGGTTTGATGTACTGCTAGAGGATATACTAGCGTAAAGTTTTGCTAGACGTAGAGTAGGGTTTCTTGTAGTATGCTTCATGATATTATCTTCCACAGATGTTGTGTGAAACTAAAAAAAATATTATGGTCAGACTGATTCTTCGTCAGCCATCTCCTCACTGGAATACTTTTGGTATTGAAAACTTAAAGTTCTTCATGCCCTCAAGCTTCTCAGTAAGTGCCAAACAAAAAAAGTGATGGTTTAAATGATGCACATTGAGCTCCTGAGGGATGGGCTGTTCAAAAAAAAATTAGTGCTAATCCTGGGTTAACTAATGGTAATCCAAGGCTTTGAAGAACATGGCTTTGACCGTCACATCTGGGATAAATTCCTGGCCTGTGTGAATGTGTTGTGTCCAAAAAAAGGACTTGTGGGTGAGGGGAAGGAAGAGGGAGAGAGAGAGATAGAGTTCTCAAAAAAAGATGTCACAAAACAAAAATTTTTGAGTTTTTAAATTTGCCCTCCATATTCAAAAAAACATTTATTATGCGTCCTCGCTAAATATGAGTGTCTTAGTGCCATTTATAGAAAAAAAGCAAGCGATTTTATGGTCAGGTGACAACATACAAACGCTTGTAAATTTGGTCATGTTCCTTTCGTTGTGAACAAGACCAAATTTACAAGCGTTTGTATGTAGTCATCAAAAAAAAAAATTACTTGTATCTCGGCGATAAATGGCACTAGGACACTGAAATTTGGAAAAAAACTATTTTTTTCGAAAAAAAAGTATTTTTGTGACGTCACACTTGAGTACTCAAAAAAAGGCTTGTATAGCAATATCTATGGACATTAGGCCTTTGAATGAGTATTTGAAAAAAAAAATTATTAAAGTGTAATCTCATCCTATCCCACTAAGAGTCTTGTATCATCAAAAAAATGGTTGATTGTTGATGATGATGA